AAGGGCCATTTACTAGCGTGTCATCGATAAGAGATCAAAATCGTCAAGGATCTTTGTTTTCGAAATACATATCTCAGAAAACTGTCTCCGCAAACAATATTTTATATCGTGGATAACCACTTTTTAACTACAATGCAAAGGAGTCGTTAAAAATCGTGCATATCATAATTTGGAATTCATTGAACGAACCAGTACATCTAAAACAGTTTTTAAATAGTTACCAAACTATTAAGTATATGCGCGCTGGCGAAAAATTCTGACTGCTACTGCTAAACAACTAAAACTAAAATTAATACTCGTCAATCATTACAAAAGACTTAAGCAACAAACTCGCTCGACCTGTCTGCGTTCACATGGCTCAATATTGATGTTGGCATCAAGTGCGCAAGCACATATTTATGTTATCGTGTTGCAAGTGCACAATTAACGCCAAATTCACCATTTCCTCTCAGAAAGCATACACTACCAATTGTCCAATTGTCCACTTTTTCACTCCACACTTTTAATTCCATTGGTCGCATGACGCAAATTGCATTTTGGTAGCATTGCATTGCACTGCTGGCTTTACTCGAATTGTTTCTTATGTTTTTTTTTCTTTTTCTGAGGCTTTTTGACATATCAAATTAAAATAGTAATTTTATTTTCAAAATACCGCAACCAACCGCTAGCACCGTTGAGTCGAGCGTGAGTTCAAGCTGTCAATTTTATTATTTGCCACATTCATACATCGATTGCTATGCAAACATGTACATTAGCAAGTATGTATGTATGCCGATTGCAATTGTGGCAGTGATGCCAGCATTCAAGTGCAGTGTTGAATATACTCATATGTAAGTGGATACATACATACACACATATGCAATGTATTTACGTATGTAATTGAGTAAGTTCATTGTGTTTGCTTTGGCGTCCCACAAAGCTGGTTCGCCGATTGCTTTTCCGCACAATTTACCGGTAGAGAAAAACTGCAATTATCAAGTGTACAATATTTGACAGTTTTATTGCAAGAAAACTGGTAAAATTAAAAATATGCCAACAATTTGTCTTGCCTAGATAAGACGGCTGTGCAATGCAAAAGTTCACAAAAGTGTATAAGAACAGAAAAACAATTTAAATAAAGTTTAGGCATGCGACATGTAAAAAAGAAAAATGTACTACACAATAATTGCCAATTCATTTAGTCAGCGACTATTACTGTTATGTGCTATTTATTGTATGCGCACGCAGTTAATTTTTTTTTTCGAATTAACTTGTGATTTTACATACATATGCATGCGTATAGGTGGCACTTTGGGTGTCCACAGCTGCGCACTTATGCATTCGGCCATCTTACAGGTATCCGTAGAATGAGGTCGCATACAATTTTTTGGGTGTTTGGAATTTTGTAAGCACCAAAGATACTTTGTCAATTTGTAAAAACCGTTAGTTATGTTTAGAATTATGCATCTGGCGGGTAACTTTGAGTATTTGTTTAGCAGTGATAAATTTCTTGAAATTTCTTAGCCAAATTTTTTCTTAATACCGCAGAAAAATATGTAAAATGTAAAAAAAAGGAAAACAAAAAGTGGTATTCTCCAGAAAAATAGTCGGTAAGTATTTAGCTTCAACCTCAGACAACCAGCATCAGATTTTATGAAGAGTATGCTTGTACACATAAATTTTACCTTTTTTTTAATGCACAATGTCGCATACACAATGTAAGTATTACACATGTTATAAATTTCAGTTGTCGAATGATGTGTGAAAGCAATAATAAATATATCCCTACGTTTATATCGTATAATCCAGCTCGGGGGAAGGCAGCGTAGGCGGAGGCGGCTAATGGGAGTCCTCGTCCTGTGAAGGGTATTTCCGGGACGGTTATGGAGCAACCTCAATTCGTGCTGATATAACAGGCGTTATGGTCGGGCCTAGCAAGAGCATAGCTGCAGAGACTATGCTGGAAACGGAAGCTGAATACAATGTAACCCCTCAAGCCAACACACCTTTGGTTAGGGGTCTCACGACCTAGCTCCAGTGCCGAAAGGCGTAAAATAAAGGACTTTTTTCAAAAAGATTTGGGAATACGTACATACAACTTGTATGAGAAAAGTACCTTACCTTACCTTTAAATCAAATATTTACCAGTTAATTATATTATTTAATTGTACAAGTTCCCCTGCTGTAGGGAAAAATTAGCCAAATCCTTTTCAAGACCTTCGCCATCCTTTGCCACCAAAATGCGTTTACCATAATTCATACTGTACAACGAAGCCAGCACACAGTGGTTCAAAACTGGAATTTAATGTTCATAATTCACCGGAGCCTTCATTTTTCAACCAATTTTTACTAAAAACTAAAAAAATATTTATTTTGGTGAACATTTTTTAAAACATTTAAAATTTTTGTGTAATTTTTTCGTTTGGGAAAACCATACAATTGTTTTCAACTAGTGTTTGCTATGTAAAATTTATTCACTGGAACAGGAGAATACATTTTCTTCAAAATGGCTACTTTTTCTTTATTTTGTACTAAAAAATTTAATATAATTAAATAAAAATTCACAAATCAGGCTCAGGCAAAATAATCAAATTTAGTGAAAAAATTAAGGCTCCAATGAATTACGAACACCAAATGCCAGTTTTTAACCACTGTGCATCAGGGGCTTTATTGTTATTTTTCAGTGGAAGTGGAAACTCAGCGTGCAACACGATCCTAGGCACAACTTTCTCTGTGATTATAGATTGTACAAAGATTACCGATTAAGTAGAAACCTTAAGTGGGGTGCGAGCCAAACTGGCGAAGGTTTTCATTATATTTTATAAGGGATACTTTTATGTTTCATATTCTGTGTTTAAAAGTTTACCTCTGAAAAATGCAGAGCTGATTTAAAGGACAGTTTAAGAAATAAAGGACTAAAGGCGTCATTTATTTTGAAAAAAATTATAAAGGACGGGGTTAAAATAAAGGACTGTCCTTTAAAATAAAGGACGGATGGTCACCGTAGGTACCAAAGGTGGGAATTGTCTATCCCGGAGAAAATCTAAAAGTAGTGGACTGGAAAGACGGCTAGGAAAAGGAAGTGGGTACCTTTCACGCCGTCATCGCCAGAGCGCATCTTAAAGATGGTCCAAATTATAAATCTACGCGTCGAAGATTTGATGTGATGTCATGCGATATCATATCCTGTGATGTCATATCATGTAGAGTTTTGTCATGTAATAACATATCATTTGATATCATGTCATGTGATTTAATGACATGTGATGCCATATCATATGATGTTATGTGGTGTCTTCATCCGTGGTGAGTTTGGAGGAGGTATGGTGAGTTTTGTTGTGGTGAGTTCCTCTGTGGTAAGATATGGTGTAGTCAACTAAGTTATGGTGAGTATATGAGCGGTGAGTTTCTTCTACTTTTATCAAAAACCTCATCCTTATATCGTCGTTTAAAGTGCAAAACCGCGTATGAACAAAATGCAAAACCGCGTATGTGAAGTTGTAGAAATTATTTTCTAGAGTGTAAAAACACTCATATTTCAAAATGATTCACTTTTTTGTAAAGCAATCGCATTTCTGGCTAATATATTTCAGGACGAATGGATAAGGATTGAGCCAAGAGCTTGTGTGAGCAAATCCAATTTTTGGCAGCCAATGTCAGTTACGCGGTTTTGTACTTTAAACGACGATATTATCCTATACATATTACATATTACATATCCTATACATAATACGTCAAGAATTTGAAGAATTCCTCCCAGTGGTTCTACCTTCCTATTTTTTTTATCATGGCCCATTCAATTTCAAGTGGCTTCAAAATAAAAAAAAAATTGTCTAGTACACCTTTTATGGGACAAAATGCGTGACAACGTCAGAAAAAATTCCTAAAAATCAACGGTATTTGGTAGCGGATTGAAGTTTGTACTTTACTATACTAAAATTGAATGGGCTACAAAATTGCATACCAAAAATTTTTCTAAAAGTTCTGAATAAAAAGTTTGATAATTTGGTGCAAATTCGTCGAATTTTTATAATTTGTGTTCAAATTTTGAAAAACGGATTTATATGATGTTTGTTGTATAACTACCTAGGCTTTTATAAAAAAATATTAATCTTAAAATAGACTAAATAAATACAGCCAAAATTCTTAAAAGTATGACGAGTCTATTATTTCTGCCGCCAGCTTCACTTAAATAAAATGCTTATATCCAAATGTAGGTGTCACCGAAAAATTAGAAAAAAACCTTAGGTCCCCCAGGTTCAAACAAAAATATTTCAAGTTTAGGAAGTGTACGGTGAACTTTTTTGGGTTGCTTGTAAGCTCGCACGCTCTACTAAATATGACAAGATAATCTATTATATTTTAATTACCATCAAATAAGTCAATCAATTAACTAACTCACTTTCCAAATTGTGAATGAACTGCCAGTGCTAAAACACAATTAATTGCAAATATTTCAGCGCCACTTGCGAAGTGTTGGACAAAACCACTTAACACAATTTCCTCAAAATGAAATTAATATTATTACCAAACTAATAAGCTAATAGCTGCAGTCAGCAAGAGAGTCTGCATTAAATAAGTAAACAAAAACAAAAGCGACAAAAATATACGAATTTGCGGTCGGATTGCATGCAAAATTGGCGCAGTGAGCAATAGGAAAAATCGGGTGGCTGCGTAAAGAGCCAATTGTAAGTAAAGCAAATGTGGCAAGTAATTGGTAATAACACAAACTAAGCCATGCTTGTGGCAATCACCTGAACAATGGCAGTCTACGCCAGAGAGAGCTTAAGGAACGTTGTGAGAAAACGAAACAGCGGCTTTGAAGCTTCCAACTACCGCAAACAAAGTGGGAAAAGCAGGCGGCACAAAGTAATGCCAACATGTTGTGTAGAGCAAACGAGAGAAATCTCGGCATAGTTGGCCGCTGGTTCGAACGACTAAGCTTGGTGCTCGCGCAAAGCGCCCGGGTTCCTTGGCCACTTGCCGCGACAACAGATTTCAGTTGACTTTTACCACCTGAACGTGTCGGTTGTTAGCAACGCTTAAACGCAACTCGTACCGCCGACTTTTTGTTAGCTTCCGTTTGCTTTTTTTATTTTGTTGGCTTCTTCCCTGCTCTTGGCTTTCCTGCTGCATACCGAACGGTGGCTTACGGTAGGCTTTGACAGCTGTTGCGTCAGTTTCGGTTACTCATAAGCTCGCTGATCGAACACTCTGGCAAGCAGCCACTAAGCGAGTTGCGAGATACGCTGTGGCGTTTGATTTAGTCGTGCGAGGCAAATGAATGGGTGCGCATGCGCAGACGCTAATTTTCACTTTTTTTTTGTTAATAAATATAAAAGAGAAACTAGCGTGTGAATTAAACAAAATTTATTTTATAATAAATGAGAAGTATTTTGATTGAATTTAATGAATTTTTGGTGCTTTTTGCAAATGAAGTGATACAAGAAAATATTTAACAAAAATTGTGTGCTAAGAACCTTTTCGCGAAACATAATATAGAAAAAACAGTAAACAAATCAGTGGTACTCAAATGTTGCAAGTTTTAAATGAAATCCAGTTCAAACTCAACCTAAATAAAAATGAAATGTGTACATAAATAATACTTTAAAACTAGAAAGACGAAAATCACTGCACAGCGTCATCGCGCACTGAAAGAAAGCTGTAATAGTAGAAAGGCGGCAAAGCAACAACGGAAGAAATGAAACGTCAAAAATAACGTTGAAACGTTGCTATTATTGTTGATGTTGTTGCAAGTGCTGCTGCTGTTGCAGTTGTTAGTGTAGTGTGTTGCTGCTCTTGCTGCCACCGCGTGTAACGGTGACATACTTACCACTACGAGTTTTTGCAGTCGACGACTTCACCTGTTTGCTGTTTCGGACTGTTTCTGACTGAAAGCAGCATTAACCGCTTAAAAAGACATAATTTAAAGCAGCCGAAGCAAAGACCTACAAAATATTGTGCACAAAAAATATTAAAAAAAAAGTTACTAAAGTTGGTTAAAATTTATGTCAGCACAGAAATTTTTAGCAATTACTTTGAGTGTGTAGTGAAAAATATAAAAAACAAAGCAAGCGAAATTAAAAGTTAAAAGTACCAAATATAAACTACAAATATAAACTACAAATAGAACGCAAGGCATCTCTTCACTCGTATTTTTCATTTGCGCATGCGCCCTTTTTTGCATAACCTTTGTTACAACTATTGTAATTAAACTCAGCCTGCTTGAAGGCAGCTCACCGTTTAGTGCGTAATAACCGAAATATAATTTTTTATTTATTTAATCTTTTTGCAGTGTTTTAAGAAGCTTGTAAAAGAACAAAAAAGAAAACTTTTGGTGTAACTTTGAATTTTTTCTCTATAGAGGAGTTTAGTTTAAGAACAAGCGTTAACAACGACTTTAAACTGTGAGAATAACAGTTCAGGTGTACAAACAACAACAACACCAATTAAGCTGCAATGCCGCACATACGTACACAGCTGATCCTGGTGATCATCAGCCTACTGGGCTATCACGCACGCATCGATGCACAAAAAACAGGTGAGTTTTTGTGGAGGAAAATTCAAGTGTGACAAAAATATATTGAAGGCAAACAAAAAGGCGCGCATATTTTTGCCAAGTATTTGGACTAGTTTTTTACAATAAGTGAAGATAAATTCTTTTTTTTTAGTTTCAAAAGTCTGCAATTTTTTTATTTTAAAATTTTTTTTTATACCTATCATAGCCCTAGATAACATCTTCAAAAGAAGACGAGCACCATTTTTGTAACTATAATAATTTTAAGATGTTCAAAAACAAATTGAAAAAAATGGGTTTATATTTCTTCGATTTAATCATTCAGATTTACTTTTTACACCAAAAAGAAGACCGCAGTTGTAATAGAAAAATTAGATCTCTGTGTTGTATGAAAGAAACTTCCTTCGATCAAAAAGGATACAAATAATTGAAAACATAGTTTTTGATTGCAGCCAACAAATACTCTTTGCAATGAATAAAAAATCTAGGAAAATTTCATATTTTTGTAAAATTTGTTTCTGTTCTCAATATTTGTATACTAAATCCACTGTGATAACCTTTTTGAATCCAATTATGGCTGGGGATTTAATAACGGTGAAGTCTATGTAATTCGAAGATATTTTACTTACTAGATTCCATACATATATTTTTTATCTCTCTCAACGACTTATTTTTTTATTTAGATGAAGTAAAAACAAATAAATATAAAATTAAACAAATAATTTTTAAGCAAAAAACAGAACCGACTTCAATTCTCATATAAAAGTTTAAGATTGTCGTTAATTTCTTCACGATCCAACTATCGCATTTAAAGAATTAACATGGAACCACCCTTGAGGACCACCTCTCCGATGAAAAAATAATTATCGAAATCGGTTAACGTGGTTCAAAGTTATGCGGTAACATACATAAAAAAAATATTCCGACGAATTGATAACGTTTTTCCTTTTTGTGAAGTCGGTTACAAAAAAAAAGAGATTTAACTCAAATAAAGGCATTTAATTTTCATACAAGTAGAAACCCGTCCAATCTCGTTTTGGGGTACAGCTGCTGAATTCGTTTCGTTTTAAAGTTTTTAAGGTCTTTGGTCAATTTTTGATTGCCTTCATTTATCTTTTAACAAGAGGCCCCTATCTCTTAATCGGCCTTAGTCCGGGACAATCTGGGCTTCTATTGATACAAAATTTAAGTCACTCATCAAATCACATCGCGGTGACATGAAGAAAAGTCTAGCCAAAAAAAGTGGATACTCTATGCAAAAGTACGAATGGAATTAATAACTGCGGCAAGTTTATGTATTTAGTATGTACAGTTCACAGTCGAAAGTCATGGCCCGACTACTCGCTAATCCGAACATTCGGTAATCTCAACGGTTGTACTCACACCATTAGCTACTCAGTAATCCGAATTCGGAATCTTACCACTTATTTGCTATGATTTTTTTCAGCGACATTTCCTCAAGAATCGCCTGCAAGAAATTCCTTGCCAGGAAAATCAGAAAAGTCCGCTAAAAATTATGCAGCATTGGAATAATTTCTCAAATACATATTGTTTCAGCAATTCAACTCGCTCCTTTAGTATGATCATAACTTTCCTTGCCTATTCGCGATCATGCGGTCTTCCAAATGCAGTGATAAATAATGGAGCAGCTGGAGTCGATATAATTTTGACTCTCCTATTTATAGCGTTCTGGTTGGATAGGTGAGGATGTGTTTTATCAGCCGATGTAGCCGAGTGGTTAGAGGTACACCGGGGCTCGATCCCTGCTCCAAGCAACATATAAAATTAGAAAAAGTTGTTTAACAGCGGCCGCCCCTCGGCTGGAAATGGCAAACCCTCGCATGTATTTCTGGCTCGAAAAACTACTCATAAAAGCCATTTGCCATTCCGAGGCGACATAAAATTGTAGGTCCCTCCAAATGTATGTGTTATAATTTCAAGACGCACATCACAAGCGCAAAATATTTACATTTTTTTTTTAACGATTATTTACATAACTCCACTTTTTGTGAGTAAATCTACCGCAAAATATTTACTTCTAAAGGGCGTAAAAAAATGTTACTGCGTCAAATGCTATGGTAAAGACTAGCCTCTTTATTACTTTCCCCTTTCCCAGTAAGCAGTTGTTTAGTAAACAATTTTTTTTTTTTATTGCTTAGAGAAACTAATAATTCCTAAGTAGTTAGCAGATGATTGCTTGCTTTGTGAATTGGAAAGTGGTTGAAAACGATTTTTTTAATTGTTAGTTTACACTTTTGCATGACATTTTCTTAAATGGCTTAATTAAATCAGTGGTTGTGATTATTGTCTATTGCACCAAATACGTGTTTTTAATTCTGTTTTTTCAATTCACTGCATCTAAATTGCTTGCAATAAAAGTGTAAAGCTTATGACATTTTTAAAACTAAAGCAATCTTTACGAATTCTGCTGAACTGTGGGTTATTAAGGACGCTGTCACAGTCCACTTCAATCACATCGGCCTTTACATACACACATACGCTTATATACATAAATATATGGATAATTAAAATGTTTCATTGCATTTAAGACTTAATTGTTTTTATGACTTTTTCAATATGGACAAATCCGAAAAATAGTCAACCAGAAACGTAAAAAGTGCATGTAATTCAAATTCTCGCATTTTTCTTCCAATAATGTCAAAGTACAATAGTATTCTACCATTAAGATTCTACAAATTTTTCTTTCCCTACATGAACATTTTTATAAATTTGTTGACTTTGATGATCATCGCAAAATCGGTTCCATTTTGAATAATGTCGGAACACAAATTTTGTGGACAAATATTCCGCAAATTTGCGCAATTTTTTCTCATAATTACTATTATAAACCATCCCATGCTAACTTTTTACTGATAATTATTTTGCCGCCAATAACATCCAAAAGTATCCTCCGCAACGCCGTATTCCTTGCAGCCAGTTTATGTCTCTTTTCACTCGTGCAAATTACAATATATTTCTTTATGAATAGTAAATAACATAAACGTTATTTTCTTACCAACTGAAAATCGTACATGTCACTTAAGAAAGTGACAGCATTTATTGAACTAAATTTTAAAATCAATTTCTCATAAAATTATGGTATGCCACACGTTCGTTTTCACGTTTGTGTGTTTAACCTATGTTCGTATGTATTTATTTATATAGAAATTTAATGGCAAACTGTTAAATAAAATGAAAAGAAAAACACAGAATGCCGTGGCGATGGGTATTGAACTTTTTATGCAAATCTTCCACAAACGATTTGAATAAGCTTATGTCTCTAAAGCTATATATATTCTCGCAACCTTCAGTCACAAAAGGAAATCTTCTTCCGGTGATGTCATAAAATTTTAATAAAAATTTTTTAATTAAACAGAATTCCAAAATGACAACGAATTTTTACAAAAATTCATACATATGCAAGTATTTATAAATATTTTACAAATAACTTTACTTTAATTGCATTACTTCCAAATTTAAATAAATCATATTTTTTTTATAAAATTACGCCAAACAAGTTTGACAAAAAAAAATTATTAAAACTTTTGTGTTTGTTTAAATTGTTTTAAACTTTTTGTAACAGTTTTTTTCTTAAAATAAATCAGAGAATTTTGTAAAAATTTACTTTTTAATGTAAAGTAAGCCAAATAAGTTTTCCAAACCAAAATCCAGAAATATGTTGTAAAAGCTCTTTGTTTGTTCTAAGCATTTTCAAACAAAACATTTCTTAATATAAATCAGAAAAATTTTCAAAAACTTAACTTGTAAATAAATTAACCCAAATAAATTTTCCAAAATAGTTTTAATAATTTTTTTTGTTAGTTCTAAACTTTTAAACCTTTCCAACCTCTTTCCAATATTATTCAAACTTGTCCCAATTTTGTTTTTGTTACTTTTGAGTTTTTTCTTTTTTGTTTTTTTTTTGAACCAGTCTTTCCGGAATTTTATTTCGGGCAACCCATTTTTTCGGAATAAGGTAGTCTTTATTATCAAAAGTGATTGCCATAGAAGCATTAGAAAGCATTTCAAAAACAAAAAAAAAAAATATTACAAATTGGTAAAATTTTACCTAAAGAAATTCCATATTATTTACGAATAAACTAATTTGTTGTTTGTGTGTATACAATTTTTAATATGTAGTAAATATGTAAATTTTCAAAATACATAGAAATTCAGATTTTCAAATGTTTTAAATTTTCCATTTGTGTATTATATTTAAAAAAAGGAAAACCTTTCTTACAGTAAAAGAATTTCGAATATTTTCAATACTCGTAAGAAATTTAGAACAGGAATAAATTGAAAAAATTTTATAATTTTGGCACATGCCACAAAATTTGTTTAAGTATTTTGACTTCCATAAATCTTTGAAAACATTTTCCCTTCTAATTTTTCTATGATCCTCAATAATTAAAATTCAAATATGCCATCAATATTTTCTTCCATTACTTTATACGTAGACGTCGGTTTTGAGGTATGTTTTTGTGGTATGTGCGGATAAATAAACCGATTTTTGGAAAAAACAAAACTCAACAGAAATGCGGAAAACTAGTTGCCTCAGTGCCGAAAAGACGACACATGTATTTCTCTTACACCCCCAAGCAAAGCGCAATTCTAAAAAAAAAAAAATAAAAATTTATTTCAAAGAAAAACCATACCCTGCCACCTGTTGCTTAAAATTTGACACCTGCAGCCGCACCTTACAACAGTGCAGACTTCATTGATTGATGCATGCTTTGAAGTCATATGCACGCCTTGCTGTTTGGTACAAGTGCGAGTACTTGCATTGTATTTATATACATACGTACGAATGTAAGTATGTATGATTAAACACTTGCCAGCTAGCTCATAAATGTATACTTGCACATATTTATACTTTGTTGTATGAAAAGACGTTGAAGCGCAGACTTGCAGTTCCGTGATTCTTGTCGCAGCATGATGGAAAAACCACAGCGGAGCAGCAACGGGTGGCACGATTGTTGCCCTACAACCAACCAAGGAAGTAACAACCAGTAACGAAATGCATA